CCTTTTTTTTTTCTGCCTCCTCATTTGAGAGGAACTCTTCTGTACTCCGTGCTTTTACATTGTATTTTGTTGCCTTTTTTTTTTATTTCATGTCCTTATCCCGCAATTGGAATGATGTTGTAATAGATTTAAAGATGCTTAGAAATTTGAGATAATTCAGTCAAACACATAGGAAACAGAGCTACTACAGAAACTACTTTAAATTAGTGGATTTGAATTATTTTCAGTAAAACAATTCAATTTTGCTGCCTAGTCACAAAACATGAAGTTCCTAGTTTGTGAATACACCTTATAATGTGGAAAGGATGATGAGGAAAAAGCATTTGTATTATGATCACATACATAAATTTTTTACATTACACATTTTCTATTACTGAAAAATGCTATTTGTTAGAAATAACCAAATTATTATCAAAACCAGTAGTGCACTAGTCCTTTCCAATCAAAATCCTATGAGCATGTGAAACATTCCTAGTAAAAATAACTCCCGTTAACTGATTCAATTAAATTTGGATGATATGGTTTGCTACCCAGTAAAGGTGAGAGATCACCAGGAAGATATTCTTTGGAATTACTATCTGTTAACAGTCTCTGATAATTTAAGGAATTATTTTTGTCAAATCTTAAATTTAGCAGATTTTCCATTAATAGTTAAACCAGACTTTGGCTTTTCAGTCTTTTTTTTGTAGTGATATCTAACTCCTGATGTAGACGTGGATACTTTCTTGTATTTACAGCTTTGGAAGGAACAGCTTGTGTCCACTAAAATGTTGGGAGGCACTGTAGCTGTGTAAAGTTCCATAAACCAATTGCATGTGAAAATACGTGGTTATGTTTGTGTAACTGCACAGCTGTAACTTAAACTGCAATAATTTATTTTTTTTTTCATAAGTAATACACATTCTAAACTCTGTGTCTCTTTCCCCCTACCCTTTTTCACCCTCAAGTTTCGTGCCCTCAATTTATCAGTAAGTGATGCTAGGATTTTGTGGTTGTTCAGCTTGTTTTAATCTAGTTTTCCCTAAGAGTAATATATCAAATATCTGTATAGATACAGAACCACCAAAAAAGTAGACAGGCCTTGGAAGTGAGGGCCATAGCTTAAATACGGAATGTTAACACAGAACTGAACAACTGTCAGGAAATGTATTTTTAAAATTATTTTGCTAGTATGTGTAAGAGCTGTTGCAGTGACGTTGACGTTGACTTTAGACTGAACTCTCTCTTCTCAACCCAACCCTAAGCATAAGGGATGTTAGTATAGAATGTTATATATTCTATAGTAATGGTTTACCTTCTTTAAACTGACACTTTAATGACATTTCCCAAGTTGCAGGCTAAATAAATTTGACATAATCCTTCTGTTGATTTGAAAACTGAGAGGAGCAGAATCTGACAATGAAAAATGACAAATTCATATAGCAGTCAAATTTTCTGTCTATCTGCTTTTTTATTAGAGGCTTGTTGCTGTTTTGGAAATAAGCCTATAGACCTAGGATATATTCACAAAAGGTTTGGAATTATTAAAAAAATTTGGGGGAACCTTCTTGTGCAACTTGCAAAATGGTGGAAGAGCCTACCCTGAAAAGATTGCCATAAATTGTTCTTATTCAAAAGTATTTCCCTCTTACATAATTTAGAAGGTCTTTTTAAGGTTGGAGAATGCTATTGTTTCTACATTTTTTTTTTTTTTTTTTTTCTCAAGCAACACTAGATTTGTGACAGAAATGAGTATGGAAGAATCTAAAAAGTTCTTGAAGGTCATTTCAAAGCACTGCTGTTGGAATCTCTCCAATGGCAGTTACCATATGAGAAGAAATAAAAAAAGAACAAGAAAAAAAAAAAAAAAACACAACCTTATTGTTGCAGTAACACAATGGGAAATGATTGGCTAAAAGACAGTTATTTAAAGAGTCTTGAAGCAAGAGGTATTGCAGCTATATCAGTCCTCTTCTACAGTCCACCAAAAAGTTCATCTTAGAAAAGTTCATTTTCAAACCACTTTACTTTCCCATGCCCTTCCGTTGATGCTGCTGTAGCAGCCCAGTGCAGAGAAAATGAAGTTTGGGGCAACAAAGGGAAACAAGAAAACTGATCTAACTCTACCCACTTGGATATTTTTTCTTCATAGCTCTTGTGCACTTTAGACCTGACCTTTTCTTTCTTGACTTTCAGTCCCCAAGTGGTTCCACATACCTGTGCTAGAGCATGGGCTTTCTTTTCTGGGGAGCTATATGCTGGAAACAAGGAAGAGACATCTCTCATGACTGACTAAAATTGCATACCCAGTGCTTACAGTGTAACCTTTTTCAAAGGCATCCCTTCTGCATCCCTTGAATCCTTTTTCCAGCCTGAATGATAAGCATGCTGAAGGGTGAATATCTAACATGCCAAATGTGCTTGTGAATTCTAACTTACAGATTTGTTTGCCTCTCTCTAGTACTGGGAAAAACAAACAAACAAAAAACCACCACAGATGTATTTGCCTAAGAATTTTTTTTTTAATCTCAGAACAAAAATTTCCTGCCAATCAAATTTTGCTTGGTGACACTGTTATATATATTGCTGGTCTATGAAAATAAGGTGTACATACTCACACTCCCTGTGAATTTTCCTAAAAGCTGCTTTCAGCCATACTTGAAATAACTGTGAAGGTTGTTTAGTTTTTTGGTGAAAATGTGGGGAGACAGAAATTAATATTTTTATGGAGAGCATGGTGGTAGTAATACAAGTACTTAAAAAGTCTAACGTTAATGATGACGGCCTGTTGGACTGTCTTGTCTAATCAGACCCTAGGTATTTAAAAACTTTTGTAACTTTAAAAAGCAGATACCTTTTTTTCTGCAGTTGAATTGCAGAATGCTTTAAAATTTAAAAATTACTGGACTGTGACTTTTAAAATTCTTTGTGAATTGCTCCTAAGTGCTTTTTCTTGAACATATTTCCATTTCTGAATATGTATCCCATACAATGTTAACCAGTGAACTATTAAGAAGGATGCTGAATAGAAGAAAAATAGTCATAGATACATACTATATGCTACTTTGTTTTTCACTTTATGGATGATTGTGTCATGATTGTGTCTCCGAGTTTTAAGGTGATATTCCCATATATAGTCCAGCACATTATACTAACTCACTCTCCTGTGTATGTCTTTGTGAGCGAGTCTTATGCTGCACCTTCCTTTTTTTCAGACCTGCAAGGCGTGGGACAAGTTGTCTTGTGACAATTAATACTGACTTAGTCATGGCATTGCTGTATGCATTCATTTTTCAAAAGAAAGAAGGTTTTTTTGACAGATAATTTCACAGCTCTGGTATAGCTTTCAGGAAACAATCATTACTGCCATTAGTCAATAGCAATGATACTGAGGTGGAAATTTGCTCGTGGGCATGCCTGTCTCTCACTCAAAATTGGTTAAAAATGTGGAGGAGTTCAAAACTGAGTCATAACTTGGCACTGTAGAAGCAGCTTCCTCCTCCACCCTTCTCACTCCTAATTCCAGTCCTGACAAAATCACTACAAGAGACACACGCCTTCAGGAAAGGTAGAATGCACAGTCTTTATTCAGAAGTTTACTTAGTATCACATAATTATGATCAAAATGAATTGACATATATATTTCAAGGGTTTAATTTAGTAAATGAGCATCAGGAGGCTGTGCTGACTCCACTAAGGATGAAGTTACTTTTACAGTACAGAGCATTTCAAAATAGTACTGCTGGTTTAAGAGGTCTCATTCCTGCCTATGCCTATAGAGTATGCTCCTTCTGCAGCTGTGCTGTAGAACTGTGATGAGATGCTGTGAAGCATATTTATTTTTTATTTATCTCTGTTAAAGAGTCACTCCATCCCTCCTCTCAAGGACTGAAAATCTAAGTTCATAGTGAGCCCCATAAAAAGTAGAACAGGCCCAGCTGAGGGAGAAGTGTTTTCTGGTATAGGGTCTGCCATGAGCAGGCAGAGTGAGAACTTCCAAAGCTGGTATTGTTAAGTTTGGGTGTTGTGAAAATTACTGCGTTGGGCTCTAGTATGGCTTCATGAATACAAATAAAGATTACTGCAAGAAACACAATAAATACATCAAAATAAGGTTTATGTTCAAAGTTGAGGATGTATGAAATTTGCCTTGAAACTGAAGAACAAGGAGCAGAAAGGAAAGTAAAAAACCTGATTATGATTAAAAGGGCAAAGACAAAAGAAAAATCAATTTTTGTCTTCTTTCTTGAGGTTTGAACTTCTGAATAAGACTTAAATTGTGTAAGTGTAGGTGTAACTAAATGCAGCTAACTGATTAGTTACATCTTTTCTTCTTTTTACAGTGGCTTGGTTCAGCCCTTCCAATTTCAAATGTGAGATCATTTAAACTGATAGGTTTTCTGGCATAGTGATGAAGTATGGTGCTGAATAGGGATTACCCCCATTCACAGGGAAATCAGCTTGTCCAAGTTAATGCACAGAGTTAACAGTGCATAAAAATTCATTGTTTTATAATGTGCTTGGATTATTCTTGCATTAGGATGAGATTAGTGTTCTCATAATAGGATACAGTTTATACTTCTGACTCTGGGCATAGATTTGGGGAATAATAGGAGAATTGATGAAACCGAACAAAAATCATGATGTGTGGGAATACAAAAAGAAATCTATGTTGGTTGTTTTTGAGTGCTTGTTATTCTACAGCTTTATTAAAATAGTTTAGAGAAGAGGAAAATAATTAGAAAACCAGCTTACTTCCACACAAAGTGGGGGGATTTTTTGTTTTGGGTTTTTTTTTTTTTTTTTTTTTTTTAAGGCCTTATGCCTTAGACTAACAATAATGATTATAATCCCAGGCTATTTCTCCATGTGGAATGTGTTTGTGTTACTCTGATGGAACTTGAAATCATCAAAGTTGTTTTCTGGTTCTTTGCTCATCTGGTTTGTACAAACTACTGTACTCCTATAGAGGACCAATAGCTATCCATATAATTTATGATTGTCCTATAATTTTACTTTAGGTTTTCTGTCAAGACACTGATTGACCGTTCCTGTTTTGAGACTATAGATGATACTTCCCCTGAATTTAATAATTTTGCAGCCATTCTGGAACAGATTCTAAGCCATCGACTGAAAGGTATGCTAATTAACTTCCTTACTGGTGATGTTTTTGCTATGAGAATTTGTTTATGTAAAACCAGTGTGCATCCATAGAAACTCCTTGATGCCAAATGAAAGTGTTTGTTTTCTTTGTGTCCTGACCCTTTGCTGTTGCCTTCCTGATTGTTTGCATTACTGTGGAAAAGTGAAGGAAACAGGCTCTGCAAAATGTATTTCCCATGCTCTTGTTGGAAGTCTTCTTGGCTGGTAATTAAACAGGTGGATGTTGCCATGGTGTTGAGCTCTGGTTTTCTGCTTTATGATAAGGCTGTGTTCTAGGACTCTGAGAGACAATTGTGTTTTCTGCTTTAAATAAGCTGTAGAGAGCTTATCTGTGGTGCTGTTCCTTTTCTTTCTACCTTCCCTGCATTTGTTACCTTCTTTTCCACATACTGTGTTTAGATCCATTCCCACCACCCTAGTGAAGCTGCTTTTTGCTACTGGAATGTAATGGATCTGGATTAAATTGCTTTTGAGAAAGGTCAGTTGCTGATTTTTCCTCTTGTACCAGAGTCAGATGTTGTTCTAATTGAGGAAAATGTCTTTGCACTTTCTGATTGTTCTAGAGGAAGCTGCTTTGCTAAAAGAACAGAGTGTGCCTTAGCATTAACAGTTGCTAGAAAAGGACTTTGGAACCTTCTCCTTATTCCTCAATTCTGTCTAGTTTCTGAAATTATTTGGTGATTATGAAGGACATCATAATCATCTAAATATAGATGTGTAGTATGACAACCCACTCCTTTTTATACATTTACTTTTTAATAACTTTAATAATTTTTCATAACTGAGCTTTGTGAACAATGTTGTGTGTAGGCTAATGTTTCAGTGGCACGATTTCTACCTGCTGTCATTCTATCAGGGGGTGGGGGGAGGGGAAAAAGAATCACACAGTGGAGTAGAAACATAATGTTTGTCACATACTGGCAAAGATTATTGGAGTGATTATGGGTACTTAGCAACTTGACACGTCAGGGGAATTGCTCTGTTTTCTCCTTCTCCCCCAGCTTCAGTGATGTTTGAGCAAAAATCATTATGATTTTTATAATTTCTTTCCCCCCGACATTCTTTTGCTTCACAGTCTATTGTTCAGGAGAGGCAGTACAGAGAAGAAGCCTTGACAGGTTGGCAAATGAGTTACAGGTAAATGGAATTTGCAAGTAAAGAATCATTTCAAATAAGAAATAGAGAAAATCGAAAAGCTAAATTGTTGTTTCAGTCTTCCCCTTGTAATTGCCAGTATGATTTTTCTAAGTTTGCAGAGTTCAATAAAAATACAGAAGAAGGCAGCAACTTCTGCATTGCATTGCAAACAGGGAATGTTTTGGTAATAAGCTAGATCACTGTAATTGTTTTATTATTTAAAAACTTGAAAGGGAAATTGAGACAATAAATGTACTATGGTAATTCACATCTTAAGTGAGTATATATTATACAACACAGGGCTTGAAAGAAACTGCATTTTATTGATAGATATGATCTATATATTCTGTATGCATACTTTGTGTCAGTAGAGCATGCTAAAAGCAGACTGGTGACTGCAGTAGGTTGCATAAAATCTTTTAAAGCGGTCAGAATATATGTGCTCTGTTTGTCTGTGGTAAGATAAATGGCTTCATTGATATCAAAGTTGTCAGGATAATCCCATGGCAGTATAGTTGAACAGATGATCCAGATTTGAGAGTTTGAGTATATAGACCTTAATTTTCTAAAGGCCATAGCAAATAACAATTCTTAATCTTTAGCTTCCTTTGAAAGTACTGAGTGAAAAAGGAAGAAATTTTTTAAAAAGGGCAATTAATTTGCATTGTAAAGGACTACGTTTATTTTTATTATAAAACTTCTACTGACAACTGCCTTTTCTGACGTTAAACGTAATATATTTTTAATGAGCGAAGCATAGCTTTGACAGAATATGCTGACTGTTGCTACTTGCTTGTTTCATATTCAGAAAAGATCCAGGCAAAACAAAACGAAAGAAGGATAGTCATATTAAGGGGAAAAAATGTTCAACTACTTGGATTACAATTTTATGCTTTTCCTGAAACCATTGCAATTAAAATTCTGAAATAATAGGTCTCCAAGCCTCAGCCTCGATGTTCTGCTAAAAATGCCAGTTATAGCAATATGAGCACCATTTTAAAATTGGATTTTTTTTGTTAGGTAGCTGTAATGGTTTGAAAACAAACCAGTGAGAGACTCCAAGTCAGAAATACAATTTAATAAGAAAAAAAAAAAAAATAAAAGCAATAATACAAAGGAAAACCACAAACAGAGTCAGAATACAACCTGATACTCTGTAGTTAGGGTGGTGGTAGCAGTCCAGATGAAACAGTGGTCTCGTAGAAAAGATCTGGTAGCTCTTGTCCTCTGGAAATCCAGTGGGTAAGGCCCCCTGTGCTGTCCTGAACCCCAGTTTATATCCAGGTGGGAGCACTTGGCTCCTCCCCCTGGGTGGAGCATCTCACAATGGGTTGATATCAGTCTATGAGTCATGCAGTGGGTCCTTGATGGTCCATTAAACAGAAATAGCTCCTGGGGGGCCTCTGTATGAGTCATGGGGTGAGGCATGGATGGGCCCATTAACAGGGAGGACTCCTCCTGCTGGGTGGGAAAGGTGTTAACATCTCCCCTGACCTTGGACCTCTTTCCTTATCTGTTATAGCCTGGGGTGTGAGGTCTGTCCTGGGCAGCTGCTACCCATGATTTTCTTACCAGCCCATGAGCACTGACATAGAGAGTATAGAATACACAGTTTTGGTTCTACCCACATAAAGATAAACTGGTCCCAGCCCCTGTAACCATGACAGTAGCTGATATGGCGTTACCAGCTCTAAATAGCAAAAGGGTCATTAAACAACATTTGTAGTTGTTTGAGTGGTTTTGTTGCAGTTTTTTCTTTTCAGAATCATTGAAGAATTTAGTTTAGAAAGTACCTTAGAAAGTCATCTAATCTAACTTCTTTCTCAAAGCAAGGCTGTCTCAGATTGCTGATGACATTTTCCAGCTGAGTGTTGAAAATCTCTGTGGCATTTCTTAAATTCAGTCCAGTTTGCTACAGATTTTTTTTTTTTTTCCCCACTCCCACTTTGTTCTTACCTTTCCCTTATAATGGCTATGGTCTTCACCAGATCCAGGATGAGCCAGACCAGGAAGTCAAAGGGGCAGAAAGCAAATGACTTTCACAGTGGATGCACTTCTTTAACCCAGTAGCTCATTTTCTTAAGAGTAGTTTAGATGTGTGTGTTTGCTTAGTAACAAAAAGAGGTCAGCATCAATATGTCAGTTCACACAACGGAGATCTGTGAACAGTGCTTCAGTGCAGATACCTGTTAGTGTGATACAGAAGACTGAGCACATATGGTACCAAAATAGTTCCAAAGAAGGTAATTTAATATGCCATGGCCAAAAGGCAACATCTTTACTAATTAGTTATATGTACACCAATGCCAATAAGTAGCAGCCAGGAATAGGTCACTGTTGTTAGAAAAAGCAGTCTGGCTCACAGCCTGTGTTTGAAATGCCCTAAGGAAGCAAGAGTGAGTTTGGGTGAGCTATATTAACTGTCTCTTCAGGGTTGGCAAGCTATTGACTACCTTCCACTCTAGAAAGTGGAGAGACTCTTATCCCTGTACTGTGTAATATGTATGTGCATTATAGCTGGTACTCCCTAAAAGCCCTGGATTTGTACTGAGTTCAGAGTAGACCAGATATCATCCTGAGAAGGGTATAAAGCATGTGTTCTTCCTGTTATTAAAATAATCAGTGTGGTATGCCTGTTGGCAACATGTGAGACTACTGAACAGGAAAATTGAAGATCTTGAAAAGGTAGGAGAGAAAGGAGTAACAAAAGGAAGTGACTACTCTCTTCTTCCTTCTCAGGACTAAGAATTTACATGGTTTTATAATGCAGTAGAGAGTAAGTAGTATTCTGAAGGTAAGTAGTATTTAAGATCTCTGGACCAAATAAAACCTATAATCCTGAAAGGATTTTAACAGATTCATATACAAATACATGTGTGTTTGATAATCTTTAAAGCAAGCTGGGTAATTTTTTTTCGGGAGCTATTTTTTTCCCCCAGATAGTTGTTTGGAATTTGTTCCATTCTTAACTGTTCTGTACTGTGGAGATTAAGCTATATCTTGTAGTTATCTTGGTGGTTTCTTGTTTTCACTGTTGACCACAGACTTTTCATCTCTATTTCATCTAAGTGGCCTTTTTATCAGATCAGCTAAGTCAATATAGTTAGTGCAAAAATAGTAGAGGGCATCAAAAGATGTTCAGTAACAGTACTTGGAATTGCTTCATAGGTTTATCCTAGCTGATGTGAAACCTGAAGTCAATTCAAAGTGATATATGTGTTGTATAATATCTCACAATGTTGTATGGTTTTCTACCTTTTTCTATCACTTTAAATTGGTTTTAATTGAGTTAGTACTGAAGAGCATCAATAATTATTATAGATTTTTATGGCTGTCGCAAACATGGTTCTGAAAATTGCCATGTGTATGTATTTGACTTACTAGGTTTTCATTTCTAGGATCCTTTACAGGAAAATTTTAGCAGTTTGTATCCAAACTGCTAGACATTATACATGCTTAGAAATAGTTTTGGTGTGCTTGTTTTTCTTTTTTGTTCTAGAAAACTTAGAGTCAGTAGTAAGCTTCTAGTGATGAGTGTTGCTGGAGTGGAAATATAAGTACAATAGTTCTCTTCCTTTCCTCATTCTATAAAATCTTCTAGTTGCATGCATCATCAGTTGCCTGGTGGTAGTAGTAGTAGTAGTAAATGGCTCAACTAGTGATGTCACTGGTAAATATTCAGTTTTTGTACTTCTTCATAGTAAAGTGAGTTATTAAATAATGAATTTCTGAAACAGTGAAAGACTTTTCTTATATCTGCAGTGCACAATTTATCTTTTCCCGTACGGTTTTTATTTTAGTTATTTATTTTTAGGAGGAAAAAAAGCAGTTGCTACAACCTGCTATTTCATGCAGTCTCTTTTTAAACAGTAAATAATTAATATAATTTATATTAAGTAAAATTCACTGACTTCTAATAATTAAGGCATAAACAGTGGTTACAAAGGGAAAGGATATTAATTATGTCTGCAGAAGACAATTTGTGCGTGTAGGTCTAGGTCATAGGTGAGGAAGCAGTGTTCTTTGAATAAGTAAGATGCAGCTTGTAATGCTGCTCATCCTGAAAGAGAAGTCTGCTGGATAAAATAATTAAGGTAATGGAGATTAACTGCCAAAACCAGTAATGTTATTCCTGTTGGAATAGCTGTCATCTTCTGTGTCTTCTGATGACATTAAACTTCATGGAGGTGACAACATGCTTTTTGTCCTTTGGACCTCCCTCCCAGGAAACTTACTCTTTCTTTAAGAAATACTTTGACAGAATATTAGCTGCGTACTGAAATCAAATTTCAAGATTATTAGGACCCTTTAAAATTTAGGTATTTTAGAATCAGTCATAGAACAGCCCAGGTTGGAAGTGACCTCAAAAGATCATCTAGTCCAACCATTTGTGTGAAGGGGAGCCTGGAAGAGATTATCTAGCACCCTTTGCAATCACATCTTGAAAACCACTAGCTATGGGGACTCTACCACATCCCTGGGGACGTTGTTCCAGTGAATGGTTGTTCTTACTGTAAAAAAATTTCTTATGCTTTCTTATGGATGAATCTCTCCTAGTGTAACTTGTGCCCATTGCCCGTTATCTTCTGAATATGATTCCTTGTAAAGAAAGAGGCTACATCCCCTTTGTAGCTACCCTTTAAGCACAGAAATACTGTGATGAATTCCCCTCTGAACCTTCTCTTCCCTGGGGAGAAAAGACCCAATGCCTTCAGTCTTACCTCATGGGGCAGGTTCTCAAAGCCCTTGGAATGTATTTATAGCCCTTCTTTGGACCTTCCTGCGTCTGTCCATGTTCTTCTTGATTTGGGGGGCCCAGCACTGTCTGCAGGACTCCAGGCACAGCATGACAGGTGCTGAGTAGTGGAACTATTTCATTCCTCATTCTTTAGAGTTGTTGTGGCTGTTTATGTTGGGTGCATTGAAGGCCAAATAGAATTTCATATGCTGAAAGCTTTTAAAAATGTAGGGAATATACAGATTAGTATATTATTTAGTAGGTCTTAAAATAGGTTTTCACTATTCTTGGCCAATCTTTTCCACCATTTTTCTGTGTATAGAACAATTAAGGAAGTTTTTCTTCAAATGGTGTTAATTACTAGACTGGGGCAATGTTTAAAAATGTAGGGAGAAATTAGGAGGATATAACAGTCCTTGGTTCAAAAAAGGTCCTGAGCCAGCTGTGACTTTCAAATGAAGATAATTCCTGCTGAAGCCTGAAATCCATCATACCCTCTTATAGAGCTGGCTGCGAGATAAGAGCCCACTGTTACATCAGAGTATGTTGTAATTATGGCCACCTTGCTTTGCTGATCAATTTAAGACAAACTAGGTGCTGGATGCATTTCTGTTATAAAGGTATTTTGGTTTTTAAATGACGCGTTTTTCATGTGTTTGTTAATAAAAGGAATTGCTCTGAATTAGTGACCTCAGAAAGCTAAAGAGTGAAACACTCAATTTTTTTCAGAATCTATTTTGTCCTTAGGTTAGTTTGAAAAAGTTATGGAAGTTATTTTATGGTATGCTTGCCTTTTACTTGGCACTGGAATTGGTGACGCAAAGTCACCTTCATACTTAAGTTGCATTTAATCTTGCAGATGTAATCCCCAGGGCAGAAATTTTTCTGATATGGTAAAGAATATGAAAAATATCTGTAACTTTTTGTGTTGTTAAAATGCTGTTGAATTCTCATTGCTATCTCCTATACTTGGCATTTCAACAAAAACAGTAAGCTTGTGAGAGCATTTACTTCATGGAAAGTCTTTTATTTTATTCCTTAGAACTGAGAAGATCTGAATCTACAGTAACTGAAGCACTTTGGGATTTTTATTTTCCTTTGGTGTATTGAGTGGTATATATCAATTCTTCACACTTCTTTAAAAAATAAGTCTTTTATCAAGCTTTTAATTTAACAAATAAATCTGTGTGGTGAAGTAAGCACCAGATGGACCACAAAGGTGAATTCCATCCACTCTCTAGGGGAAAAAAAACACGCTACTTGAATTTCTTAAGATCACAGGAGACAGATCTTTGACACTACTCTGGCTATGCATGGAGCTACAATAAGTCATGCTAGATAAAAATATCTTTGTCGTCATCTCTTGGCATTTTATTTTTGGTGTGTATGATTTACAGTCTAATATTCTTTCATAAAATCTGGGCTTTTTAACAGCAAAAGAATTAGTCTTTCTGATAAATTAGTAATGGTTCAGAAGTACAGCTTAAGACTCAAAATAAAATCAGCTTAACAATATCTCATTTTATATGGAGAAAAGGTTTTGCACTTACGTTACAATGACAGTCACCGGAGGGCAATGTTCATCTTACTGTTTACATGCCTGTTTGCAGTTGTGTGCCATTAAGTCTGAAAAATGGGGCTGAACTGTTGCTTATGTGATTTAATTTATTTTGTGTGGAGCAGTTGCAAATGCTATGTAATTTTGCCTTTTGTTTTCTAACTGAAATACATTCCAAGCTGGGAAAAAAATTTGAAGGATTTTGGTGAAAGCTCCAGAAAAGAGGTTGATTTGCTCGATTCATTTTGGTCAGCTTTCCAAGGAATGTTTCATGTACTTAAAAGGAATTGTGACTGCAAAAATTTTCTGATCAGGCATCAATTTCCCCTTCAATGAAAGCAAATTTTGAAAAATTCCAGTCTGCTGCTAAAGTAAACAGTACCACAGCAAAGAGTGGTCTTTTTTTTGGTATATGTATTTACATATATAGAATATATTTTCTTTTAAAGAACAAAATCCTTTTTGGTTGACTGTGGGTGGAACCACTTGTTTCATTAATAAAGCAAATAACAAATATTTCTTGCATCATATTTAAGTCACAACGGTGTGTGGCTCTGTTGTGATTTAAGTCATGTGAAGAACTCTTGAGTATTATTATAGTATACTAACACAAAAATATGTATATGTACACAGAAGCCCCAAACATCTCTTTGTGCGTTGGTTTCAAACCAGGGAGAAAGCATAATGCAAGTTTTTTTACAACCATGAGCCACTTTTCAGTAGGAATTTATGGTCTTCCGATTTTAAAATCCTGTTAGTACATACAACTTATAAGGAAGTATTTTAATGAGGTTTATCTCCAATAAGCAGAAAGGGAAGTTCCTGAATCCTTATATATCTTGTATTTTGATTTAAGGTCAGATCACCTGGTTCGGCTATGAAAGTCCTCGTAGTTTCTGGGACTACATACGAGTAGCTTGCCGAAAAGTCTCTCACAATTGCATCTGCAGTATTGAGAACATGGAGAATGTCGGTTCTTCTAGAGCCAAGGTAGGGAAGAGAAAGGTCAAATTGACTTATTGTTCTGTGTAAAATAAAGCTGGTGTTTCTTTACCCAGAAGAAAAACACATTACTAAGCTTGCCCCACAATATTTTTCATTGTTTGAAGTAATTATTTTTATATGTAATTAGTGAATATTTACTTAAAAAAAAAAAGCCACCACTTTAAAATCTGAATGCGTTTACTTCTAAATTTGTTGTGGTAGAAATATTTAGCTTATTATATACAAAATCTTTTTTAGTTTTAGTGTGAATTTGTGTAGTGAGTGTGGAGAGCAGTTTTGAATTTTTAAAGGTTCATGTGGGAGTGTTTTGGATGACCTTATCTAAAAATGTTAGATGCCTGTTGACACAAATACCAATGGCATGCATCAGATTTATTTGTGCTCCAATTGGGTGTCTGCTTCAGCCTGGAAGCTGTTACTAAGGGTTTGCCAGTGCTAGTTAACCCTCCTTCCACTGGAGCTAAGCAGCATCATCAGGGTTTGAATGTTTCACTCATATTCTAAATAACTGCAACATAGAGGCAGCTATCCAAATAAGCATCCTTTTAATTTTGGTGCATTCTATGCTGAAGTTTTGGGAGTGTTGTTGGTGTTTATGAAAGTGATTTTTTGTTTTTGATATTTAGCATCTGCGTATCTTAGGTTTTGTTTGATCTAGGTCTCTAGAAAGTGGTTTTGGTAGTATGTGTCTAGTGATACACAGCTAGATATCAATGAGCACAAAATATGTTAAGCAGAAAGATGTCTTGCTACTTACATAACTATTTGTAAGTTATATGAGTTACAAGGTATGTTCATGGTGTTCTCACACTGACAGTCGTAACCATGGCAGCCTTTTGAAATGTCTCTTTCTCATAAACTACAGTTCTGTGCACTAGACCTGTAAACATAGTGGAATATAGAAGTGCTGGGGTTAGACTGCCAGCCCTGAATGAGGTTTGGTATATGGATAGTGTCCACGACCTGTCAAGAAGGACCTTCCTGATTGGTTTGCACCCAGGGCCTGGCCAGCCTTGGGTGTGAACTGATGAGGAGATCACCATCAACTGCCCCTGCCTTCCACATTAACTTAGAGGCAGGGGCAAGAAGCCACCTCTGTAAGAACTGACTGGACTTGCAATGAGGTTGAGAGATCTGCCTACACAGTGTATGTGTTGTGTGGGGATTCTGGTTATTGAAGGGGCTCCCTGACTTTTCACAGCAAGTGGAGTTCCTAGGACGGCACAACAAGATCACTAAATTCTGTCTGGGAAACTGTTAGATAATTTTACTCGTGGTCTGGCTGGTTCCATCTCCCATGACATGGTTCCTTGGCCAGCTTGCTCCCTTCTTCACATCCCCTGTGGTGGGTGAGTGCATTGCCTTGTTCCTCTGGCTGTCTGGCGCTTTGGATCTCTGGTGTGTGATGTGGGAGCAGAGGCAGGAGTTTGGCTGCTGGTCTGCCCATTGCTGATAATATCATTCTGTGTTGGGCAAGCAATCAGCAGAAGAAACATACATTCCTAAAGGTTTGTTTTGAAGCTATTGCTACTGTTTATAGAACTGTTTGAATGAAGTTTTGCTTTTGGACTACAAGTTTTAGGTTTCTTAGATTGAATTTCATTCTTGTATATTATCTGCACCTTCTATAATGATGTTCTTACTGAGGGGAAAATAACTTATATAAATTACAAAATAAAAATACGTCACTGAGTTATATTTTTTTCTTTATTGGTACCACAAATATTTGAAGGAGCACAGAGAATTAGTTCCTACTTAAATCACTTTGAGGGTTATTGCTGTTTTTCAGTGTAACCTATCAGATGCTTCCAATACCATTATCTTTAAAATTAAAAACTTTCTGGCATGATCTGCTACTGCTTATGCACATGAGATTATCAAAAGGGTAGAGTATAGAATTAAAGCAAAATCTTTTTTTATTTCATATTTTGAAGAACTTTATTTCACAATAGAGTTTATTTTTAAAAACTCATTTTCTATTATTATTATAATGAATTACATCTTGGAAACAATTTCTATCTAGTCGTAATTTTATCAATCAGTTAATTTTACCCAGGTAGATCAACTATATTCTTTTTTGGATGTAAAAATAAGTGTTTCATTCTATAATATTTAAATATTCGATATCTGTTTCTTCTTGCAGGGTCGAGCCTGGATCAGAGTAGCACTTATGGAAAAGCATTTATCTGAATACATCTCCACAGCTCTGAGAGACTACAAAACAACCAGGTCTCTAATATTTTTGCAATATTTTAGCAAATGTTACTAAAGTGAGTGACTTAAGTTTGGAAGTGAATGGTCCACTTTGATTTTTGTAGGAAAGGGTGTCTGTAGTAAAAGAGCTGTAATCTAAATCTGGAGCTGGAATCAATTGCTTGGATTTTATCGTGGGTAAAACTACAGAATTTAAAATCCCTTTGTGGAAGTAAGTCTGGAATTCTTAACAGGTCAAAAGAGAAGAAAACCTGTCTCAAGAAAGAGATAATTCTGAAATTGTGCCATGATAAGGACAGAAGATGTAATGTTTGTTTCAAAATTAGGTATGGTTGACAGAAAGGCCTGGAGACAGTAAAAAAATAATTCTTATAGGAACTTTTCTTGAAGAAGAAAGGAAGAAAATTCCAGGAACCTTTTGAGAAACACAGAAGAATAGAATTGATGATCAGGCATATCCAGGACTCTGGATGAATATGGAAATGTGTAACAAATTTTTGTTGCACCTTCTAATGGTATAAAATGTTATGGACAAGAACTTGCTTTGTGATAGAAAATCCTCTGGCAGTTTTGGACTAGTTTGAGATAATGCGATTATTATATGATGCTGTGTCCTGTAGATTTATGAAGTCATCTAAATAGGAGCGAGTCTTTAAAATGTTTTGGTACCTTATGTTGAACTCTAAAAGTTTTAGACATACTGTATGGACTGTTTAAACAATAAGAATTTTCTCTGTCAGGACATCTGTTTATTTGGAATATTCTGTTTGTAATACTGTTTGTCCATATATCTCCATATATTTTGCCAATATTAGGATGTCTTTGAAACAGCTAGGTAAACATTCCATTTTGTTGACATTTCCAGAGCTGTTGTCCTTATATTACTTGTGTTTGTTTGCATTTACAGTAGACAAGAAGCTCATGAAACCAGGATTTAGGGAAAAGATTTACTTCTGTTTCCTCAAGCTGAAAAGCCCAGTTGGGTTTTTGAGGGGGAGATGAGGAGGAAGAGGATGATCACAAACTAAGTAGCTAATCAGTATATTCTTTGTCCCTGTTTGGTAGTGTGGTTTGTTTACTAGTGGATAACAGTGGTATTATTTTACTAGTAGTTTCAGATTAATGTGTTTGAATACATTAATGTTTAATATATTTGAATATTCTTTCAGTGATATAGCTTTTGGAAATAACCTCTTTTGCATTCCAAACATAATAAGTGCAAAGTTTGTTTTGAAATAATATTTTAAAATACATCTAAGGAAAATAAAAGTTACAGTTTCACATCTTGGTAGTGTGGATTTCAGATCCACCAGCAATAATGGACACATTTACTTTCTCACTCTCTCTTTTTTTTAAATTGGTGAGGCTGTGCACCATCGTCCTGGGTTCAGCTAGGACAGGGTTCATTTTCCCCAGAACTTTGGAGGCCACAGCCAGGATGGCTGGGCTGAACCAGCCAGTGGGCTGTTTGATACTGTGCTGAGCTCATGCCCACTGCCCAGGGGGAGAGCTGGCCCGAGGAAGAGGGGGTGGCTGGAGCAAGCTGCCCACCGGCCAGGGAGGGGTGTCTGGGTGGTGAGCTGCTGCATTGTGTGTCACATGGCTTATGTGCTGTTTCAGTAGTATTATTGGTTCTTCTTTCTCTGTGTTTTCTATTAAGCTGTCCATATCTCAGCCTGTGGGATTTTACCTTTTTCTCCCAATTCTCTTTCCCATCCCACCAGCGTCTGGAGGGTTAAAAGGGGAATGAACAAGTGGCTGTGTGATGCTTAGTTGCTGGCTGGGGTTAAACCATTTATTTAGTACTCTAAATTATGTATAGTGCTATATGTATATTTAATACTTATATGAACTATGAATATTGTATGTTACCCATGTGTACATAGTGTATGAGGTTGGTCTAGCATACTGCTAACTCATTTTAAACCTCTTTTGTGTTTAGGTGCCTGATCTTAGGGATGGTCCTTTAATGAAGCAGGGCATAATTAGTGCTGGATATTCATATTACACTTGGAAGGGAGTTGGATTAAACATGGGCACAGAATTATTTTTCTAACAAATTGCTTAGCAGAGGCTCTTAAAAATAGACTGTTCTGTTGTGAGATGTCAGCTGCTTTGCACTGAAAGAAGACTTGTGTTTTCCAAGGGGACTGTTTTGGCTGGATTACTGTAGCTGGTTTAAGAAATATTGCCACTGTCAGGCTAACATCTGCATCTCACCCTTACAAGTATGCCTGGTCTTTGTGTGTTTACTTCCTAGACACCACTGTGCAAGATGAACTCAACACGGTACAGATTGGTATCTAGCGGTGATTTTAAAAATGCCAGTGAAATGGTTTGAAATCAGCTTGTACTGGGAGCATTGTTGTTAATTCACAAATAAGAATACTGTACTGAATCAGACTGAAGTCCATCCAGCTCAATATTCTGTCTCAACTAGTGGCCAGCTTAGCCCCTGATGCCCTTCCTGATGTCAGAGTAGAGAGCCGAGTCTGTACGTCATAGCCTCAGTGTCAGGACTATAATCTCTGCCTTCCCAGAGGAAGCCTTCCAGACTTTTTTTCTTCTACTGAGAATATCCAAGGTCCTGGGACAGCTCATTTCCTTAGAGCAAATGGATGTCTCTTATGAAACTGCAAAAGTGGGACTTGTGACAGTCTGCTTTATCACAGTTCAATCTTTGCACAGTTCAGTCTTTGGAACTGTGCCCCAAAATGTGTCTTTTCTGGATGTTTGCCATGCAGACAACTCAAACTCTCGGTGAGCCATCCCATTGCTTTCATTCACACAGTTCTTAAAACAGATGGGGCTTTTGATAGGGCAGTGTTTCTGGTATGTGACAGATTGGTTGGATTCAGTAACGCAACTCCTTCTTGCAGTCACACCTTACTTGAATGTACAGGTGCTAGAACTGTGCACCTCGGTCTCCAGTAAGTGACCTTTCAGCCTTGCCTTCAGTATCAAACAGCTCCTGGTTTCCAGAAGTAATGCTCAGGTGATTCCTAGGGACCTTTTTGCCTCTGCTGCCACAAGGTCTCCTTTAATAGTGACACTAAAGTTCTGTGCCACTTGGCTGAACAGACCAAGTGCCTTTTCTGCAAGGCTGTTGTGTGGCAGTGGTGGGTCCTGTTCACTTGCTCTGTGCATGGAAGTTTTCTGTCTGCAGGTAGCTTCTGTGGTAGCTGGGAGGAGAAGATTAGAATAAATAGGAGAGAATAGAGAGGTGGTGAGGGAATACAGATTTTAAAATTACTGCTTCATCGGTCACTGTTCTCAAGCAGCCTTTGCAAGTCTGAATATACCCGAGGGTATGTGAAGTGGTTTTTCAGATCAAGACATAGAGTTTGAAAACTCTGGCCAATAGGTGTTTTGCAATAAAAAATGATTTTAAGAAAACACTTCCTTCAAAGAATGAAATTTTTAAATCTCAGAATAACTGGATGCAGCACGCATCTTCCCTGCATGCAATATTTTAAGAAAAAGTATACTACCTAGAAAATAGCTGATTTGTGAAAATATTTTTTACGAATATTTAACTACTAAAAATGAACAGGGAATGTTGAATTTTAAGAGCTGCAAGTACAACTGTGAGACAGAACTTTTCTTCTCATACAATGGAATAATGGGGTTATTTAATGTATGTCACACATTCTTCCTTTCAGCAGTAAAGTATGATATCTTCATCATTTTCTTTGCATTTTGTCTATCCTTTTTGTACTATTTCCTAGGGCCAATACTGTAAACTTTTTTTCTTCTGTCTAAGTTTTTATGTGCCCTAAGATTGTGCTGTTTAGTGCTGTACATTCTATTGGTTTGCTTTAACTGAAATGAAATATGAATGCTCATGGAGTTCACATAAGTTGTTAGTATTTAAACTGTATTTCTTAATTTTTCTGGTAACTATGAAAAACATTATTATCTGAGAGAAAATAGTATTAACTGAATTAATGTCTTTTTTTGTTGAAGGAGATTTTATGAGGATGGAGCAATTGTTCTTGGTGAAGAAGCAAATATGCTTGCTGGTATGCTGTTGGGACTCAATGCGATTGATTTCAGGTATTATATTATTATTATATTCAGTATTTGCATGCTTCATAACAAAGTGCTCAGGGAAAGTACTTATAAATCAGTGCATTACAGAAAAAAATGTTAGATTCCCTTGAAAATTTGAGAGACAAAACTTAGGTGAGGGGGGAAACGGGGGAGGGGGGAGAGATCTTTAATGGCTTTTCTGTATTCTTCTATATAGGAACAAATTTATGCTGTAGTTTATGTAGCTGCATGGTTACATGGTCTTTCAGATAGCAGAAGTCCTGAAAGCAATCAGATGTATAGTTGCAGAATATACATCAACCTTATTAAGTGAAGCTTACAGAATATTGGATCTTTCAAAGTCATTTTTAAACAGAGTAAAACTGTGTGGTTTAAGTACATGATTATGCCCTGGTACTCAATGACAGCATTTTAACTGCATATGCAGCGATTGTAGGTATCTTTAGTTTTAGCATTTCTAGATTTTAAAAGCTTAACCTACAATGTCTACTTAATATTAATGTGTGTCAGAGTATCATCAGTTTATGTGAATTTACATTTGCAGTCTCTATCTAGACTTGTGTGCTTTGTTATATGATTGATTCTGTCTTTTGGGGTAATGAAGGTGTAAGCACATCCTAGATAATACAAAAAACATCTTGGTGTTTATATATATATTTAAAAAAAAACAAGCAAAGGAAAAAAAAATCAGCAAGGTATGAAGACAGTACCTATGGAAAGATCAAACCTGAATGGGTTAAGGCCCTGTTAATATGCCTGGCTGAACCCACTTACCCTCATACACAGCCACTGTGGAAGGGTTTTGTAATACAACATAGGGAAGAGTCGAAATGCTCCTGGCAGTACACTGGTATTATCTACCCTGCAGCAGCTGTAGAGCTTGTCACAGACCAGTTTAGGAGATAAACTGGCAGAAAACAGCACACAATATGACTGGATGCGTTGAGTTATCAACTGTTGCCCAAAAGCCTTTGGAGATTTACTCCTTCTTACGTATCCTTATAGCATTTTTGGGGCTTGTTGAACCCTTCTGTGAAGCAGCTTAACTTCTTAGAGAGTAAAAACACCAGACCAAGAAAGAAGACAGGATAGTTCTTTAGTTGTTACCTGGTTTGGTTCATGGAAGCATCCTGTTAGTGGCAGAGACGATGGGACCATAAGCCTTAGAGAAGAGAATGAATAAAAAGGATTGAGTAATGTCTTCCGTTTCTGGTGGCAGTAAGCATTCATTTCAGCTGCCTGTGGAACTGCAACTGGATGCTAAAGGAAAAAAAAAAAAATTTCAGGTCTTGATGGCTGAACTAGCTCATCGTGGTGTCAGGTAAGTGCCAATGTCACTGTGAGGAGCAGAAAGGAAATGTCTAGTTGAGGTTTCTTTTTTCTTAAAAATAAAAAAAAAAAAAAAAAAGCAGTGAGGGAGAGGTTGAAAATGCAGGATAGCTTCTTTTGCTGGCATTTAGTCATTAGATTGGCTTAACTGCATCCTCAACATCTGTTCTGGGGGAACGGAAATGTGCTGCAGAATGATACGAGAGCTAGCCTTTTGTATGGCAAATTCAAATCTTACCAGATCTTATTACTCCAGGTTTTACACTATGTGAAATTAAACTGCTTCTGTATTAGCATTGTAGCTAGCAGGACTGTAGCTATACATGAAGAAGCAGCATAGCAGGAATAAGTCTGCAGTATGCAAATCCTCTCATAAATAATCATCAATTGACTGTATTTATCTTGCATGAGTCTCAGTGGTATGTACTACCAGTATGAGAGCTTAGTTGTGGGAGTGCACTTTGTTCTGCCTTTGTCCTTTGATTTCTAATATAATATTTACAAGGTATCTGTTAAGAGTATTCAAAATAATTATTGGTTCTTGTTAGAGACAGTTGTTTTTGCCAGTGCAGATTTTAAGAGCCTAAAAGTTTTCTGAGGAAAATAGGAACATTCAGCCTGAGGAAGAGAAGGCTACGGGGACATGTTATTGCAGCAGTATCTGAAAGTGGCCTATAAGAAAGCTGGGAAGGGGCTTGTAGTGATAGGACGAGGGCAATGGGTTCAAACTGAAACATGTTAGATTTAGATTAGGTATAAGGAAGAAATTTTTCATTATGGGGGTGGCAAGACACTGGAACAGGTTGCCCAGGGAAGTTGTGGATGCTCCATCACTGGAGGTATTTAAGGCCAGATTGGATGGGGCCTTGTGCAAACTGGTCTAGTGGGAGGTGTCCCTGCCCATAGCAGGGGGTTTGGATCTAGATGATTTTTAAGGTCTTTTCCAACCCAAATCATTCCATGATTCTATGATATTGCTACAGGAGTATTTTTATTGTGCCGCATATAACTCATAGTGTTGTAGTTTGAATGGGTGAGAAGCTGTAGCCATTCGTTGCATGTTATATTTGAGACTTTTTTTTTCAGCTCAGTCTCTTATAAATGTTGACTAGCTCATCTGTGTGGAACTGTAAATAAGTCTTTGGGGTGGAAATGGGGGTATCCAGGTGAAAACAGAATGTAAATATTTCTCCCTGAGAGCAGTGTGGAGTTAGATATCTACTTAAAATAATTGGCTTGGCAGGGGTGTTTTTTAGAGTGTTTTTTCTTTTCTTAGGGAAGAAAAACCTTCAGATGTACTTCTCAAATACCACTTAAGTGACTGCATTGTCAAAAATGGCACTTTGCAATTAAGTTAGCTAAAGCTGTGTCTTACTAGAATCTCTCTTTAGTGACAGAGACAGGAGTGAGGAATATAAGCCTCGAGGAACCATGATAAATTCTATCACTTTTCTGATAATTAAGCATGACTCAAATACAATCGTTTTATATCCAGTGCAAAAAGAATACAACGTAGATGAGAGCTTTATAAAGCTACAGCCATTTAAGAACATTTTCTGAAAGTTAATTTCATCAGTGTTCCTCATCTTCTTGCAGCCCAGCACCAGGAAGTATCTGAGAGGAGAAAGACTCAGAAATAGTTTTGAGAATTGATTTTTTTTTTCTTTAAGTTAGTAGTATGGTTATATAAACACTCTGGAAACACTTTAAATGAGCTTAAATACTGAAGACTTTAAGCTCATCCTTAGCTGTTCTATTTCTCTTGCTTTGGCTAACTTTACTTTTCATGTTATTCCCTTGCAATCTATCTATGTTTTTAGAATAAAAGTGAATATTTAAAAACTAGGGTTTAGACGACTTGCTCCAGTCCATTCCCCAATTATGTGGAGTTTCTGTTTGTTGGGGTTTTCATTATTCTGTAATATGCTCAGTGACTCTCATTTAATGTTAAACTGTCTAGCTTGGTTGAGTAGAATTTCAGTGTTAAATGCTCTAGGCCTTTTGTAATACCAAAAAATTAAGAAAATCAAATTTCACACTGGTAAAATTCAACTATAACTGTCATTTCATTTTCTTGTTATAATCTTCTTGTTTCTCTGTTTCACCAGTTTTTGTCTGAAGGGTGAGGGACTGGATGGCAGCTTTCCGGCTGTCATAGATTATACACCATACTTGAAGTTCACCCAAAGGTACCTTTTTATCTTTACATGGCTTTATTTTTTTTCATTGGCAAAATTTTACTTTGTACTATGCCTCTTACTTTTCATTTCACATACAAAATAATATCCCTAAGTACAAACCTGTGCACTCAGCTACCTTGCTCTTCAGACTGGTGGAATTACTACATGACTCAGAGTGAGTCATGCTAACTTTGTTTACTTGTTGATTAGAATCACAGTTCAGAAGGAAACATTTTTTTTTTATTTCCTTTGAAAACCACCAGACCAATTTATCTTGAGCCTTTTCTGTGTAGCCATAAACTTAAAAGTAGCTATTTTATAAATAAAGATTATATATGCCCTTGTAAATGGTAAGATATGACAGATAAGCAGTATGCAGTATGGTCAGTTAGCACATAACAGAAAGTCATGACTAGTTGCATATATAATCTCACCTTCTAGCCACTTTTTTTACTCCTCTAATCAGTTGTATGATTAATAATAAAATGAATTATCACTATCTAAATGATCAGACAGCAATATGGGCATCTCCAGAAAGCATGGAAATTAATGGGATGTGTTCTATTGTTAGGTTTGCCAAAATGAAGGGAGCATTGGGAAATTTAGGAGTAGTCTTGAAGACATAAAAATGAGCATGAAACATCTTAGTTATTCTCTTGAAGTAATTTGTCATGTTAATGACAAATTGCATGGTTCAGTTAAAGCAGAGTTTGCATCTCGGCAGGTTCATGGGGCTGCAGAAATTACTACTTAAACTAGTAAATGCTGTTAATACAGTGGAAAGCATAGTTGTAAGAGAAGATTTCAAATAGGTATTGGGATAAATTAAAATTCTTGTCTTCTGAGGCAGATGTGTGAATTCTCTGGCACGTATTGATTCTGGATGATATGGAGCTATTTTAAGAATGAGTCTGCCATAACAGGCACATAAATGGTCTTCACTGTAACCATAATTATACATCCTCATTTAAATTTATTGTGATTTAACCTAATGACAATCATTTTATTTTTCTGCTTTTTTAGAAACAAATCTATTTTCAGGTACTACTGTTTGCCCTGATTTTGTGAAAGAAAGGTTAAATCACCACTTACGTAGTGTGTTGTAATGCTATTGTATTCCAGGACAATACCCTACTTGTCTGACTTGCCTAAGACAATTTGACAAGCAAAGTTGTGCCCATTCTTTAGGTGGCTATACAAATAAAAGCTTGAAAAATAAGTTGTTTGGTGGTCTGTTGTATCCCAACACTTTGATCCTTTTTGTTTTACAGAGCTTTAGATATTAAGAACTGTAGTGCTTTAATTTCAAGAGGAATTTTGCATTTTAACAAACAGAGCTTTTCACTTGGCTAATAAATGTGATCCTTCAGTTCTGACAGCATCAGCAGTGATGAAGAAGAGCTAAGAACACTGGGCAGCAGTGGCAGTGAAGGCAGCACTCCAGAGAACGTTGGTCCTCCTTTCATCACGGATGAAAACATTTGGTACAACAAATGCAAAAGGGTAGAACAGAAGTACCGGCTTGCATTGGAGCAGAAGGTAAAAGACTGGCTTTGTGTGGGAGTGACAGGGCCAAAACTCGTCACCAGCCAAGTGGTGACATAGCCATTTAAGTAAAGGTAGAAAAATATATTAAATATTACTTAGCTTCATGGAAGTGGTCTTAAATTTTATGTTTCTTAGAGTATCCCGATATATTTTCTCACTGATTTGAGGGAGAAGGGGTTGAGGTGGGGGGGAGAGAATATTAATAATTCTGTGATTAGATTTCACAATCTAATGTAGAAGCTTTGACTCCTTTTTCCAGTCTCAGAATTAAAGGCAGTGCATTTCTGAAGCTGTTAGCTTGCGGGCCTGAAGTGAACACAATTATCCACATGATTTTCTTCTTCCTTAGAGGCCATAGAATTTTACTGGTGTAGGTAGACTGCCAGTGGAAGGCTTTTATAATGATAATGAAGCTAAACTTTAACATTCAGTCTTCCAGTAAACAAAAATTATCAGCCAAGTAATCCATCTAGGAATGAAAAGCAAAGCTGTCACCTTGGTGATACTGAGATAGGCTTTTAGAAAATTTATAGTTTTAAGAACTGCTTCAAGCTAGAATGTGAAAGGGGAAAAAGAGTGTGATTGTATCTAATTTTAATAATTTAGGTGACATATTGAATGTTACAGAAACTAAAGGTAGGTTTTCACTCTACCACCAAAAATACTGTAGGTTAAAAGTGAAGTGTGATATGTGTCCAAACTTTTTAGTATTTTTAAAAGCAAAGTGCTTGCCATTTTTTTTAGTAACAGCATATTAAAACTGCAGAGACTACAATGTTTTTTTAGATAGTGGCAGAGAGAAGACTTTTCTGTGCACTACTTCAGTGTTTATAAACAAAAAAAAAGGAGGGGTCAGAAAAAATGAAAGGGGAGAAAAACGAAAGACATGATTGATGATTTTAAAGAACTTTATTAATAGTATTTTTAGTATTCTTTTTTCCCGATGTCAGAGTTTGGTTTTGGTGAAACTCAGAATGCTGTAAACTAGATAAGGGTTCTTGGAGGTGTAATTATTTCCCTTAGTTTAGGGCATTAGGATCACAAGATTATCTTTCTCCCTTTCTAGTTTTTACTGTACTGAAAAGAAAAAAAAAAAAAGGGCAGATGTGATCTAGTACAGATATTCTGCCAGTTGGACTTTAGCATATTCACTGTGGCCTGGGTCCTGGTATGAACTCAGTCACATATATATATTTAAATTTTAAGAATGATTGTTGGCATGGTTTTGACCTCAGACAACTAACACTCTCTCAGATTATTTCAGGTTGTGGTTTTTAAATTAGTGTTTGTCAGCGATCATTCCAAATAGTCAGTGTGACCTCAGATGTGGTCCTTCAGAACTTGAATGTTGGCATAGGTAGAGCCAAACTGAGAGAATATACTTGAGAAAGGGGTTCTGACTATATTCAATTCATTGCTAAATGTCAGTCTTAGTATGGAATGGGTAGAGTCAGTCGGTTTACTTGAATGCACATGAGAGAAACTAGTTAAAATTTAACTAAGTAACAGTGAAAAAGTCAGACTTATTATGGGGTAATAGATGTGAGAGGTATTTTAAAAAAATATGCACATTTCTTTTCTATTTTGTGTCCCTTAGACAACTTCTTTTTGAAATATGGCCTTCAATGTTGGCATTCAGGTTGCTGGTATAACCTTTTCAACACCTGTGATATCACTTTCCATGTGGAAAGAACTTGTGTACCTTGGGGCTCTCTCTGATACAGAGGACAGGTTCCCTACTTTTGTAAAGAAAATGTGCCATTTAAAAGGAATCTCTTCAAATACACGAACAAATTTAAAACCTTTCCCTTTTCACCCCAACAGTCCTTGAAGCACAGGAATGTATTCAAGATGGCATTTTTTCCCTGTGTTCAGACAGAAACATAGGATCTCTGATAGGATCCTGTGAGGAGCAATGAACTCTGCTTTCACCCACCCACCTCTAAAAGACTATAAAAATATTTTGCCATGTAATGAATAAAGTGTCATCAGCTCTGGAGAAGCATTGAAGAGAATTAAATAAAAGTGGACATTAATTTTTCTTGGTACATCCAGGTGGTTCATTTCCAAGGATACCACATGAAAATTGTGACAGAGTTATGGGAAAAATAGTGAATGATGGTGTCCAAATCACAGATATCTTCTACATTACTGGCTGTAATAGCAAATGGAGGTTTTGATTTATTCATGAGTCTAAGATCTGGAGACATTTTTATTGCATGGGAAGTTATTTGCTGATTTAATAACGAGTATTTAAAATTTTTAGCATTATTGTTTTAGTCAGTTGCATTATTCCTTGTAGCATTCTCTTAATGAACTGCCAGATTCTAGAGTCAACCAATGTAGGGGTGAATTTAAGTCAGTTTTATGGTAACTCTTTGAAAATGTCCATGCATTTAATATGATTTTCATGTGATAGCTACTCTGTCAGCTGTTGTCCTCCTTTAGAATGCCTCCTAGAATTGAAGCAGTAAAATAACTTTTTTATTCCCTCACACAGAATAGTTTCTATTGTCTAAATTTTGTTTGGGATGTGCCTGCTAATTTTTTTATATAATTCATATGCATCTGGTATAACTTGAAAAAGTGACCGTAAAGAGGTTAGATGGACTGTGGAATAGAGCTCCTTTCCTGAGTGTTTCTGTGTTTCTCTACTTCCCTTTTTGGGACTTTTTCATGGCAATAAGTTGCAGCAACAATCTAGCTGCACACAGTGCAGTAGGTGCCAGTTAATTGGAGACGGGTTGTTTTCTTTCATACAGAGGGGCTTTCTGACATTTCGTGTGTTGGAAAACTTAACATTTGTGACAGGAAGACCAAGCTGAAAATGCCTTTTAGTAACTGATGCAGGGAGTCTGGTAGTTCCTTCTTTTGCTCTGCTTCCTTTCGCCATGGTGACAAGGATAAATTCCTTGCATGCCTCCTGTGTATGTGTTCTACAGTCATTAACAACACAGGTGAATGATGTTTACCAGGGTCACAATATTAAGAGAAAAGTATCTGTCTTCTCAGCTGTCTGAATGGTAGGATAGGGTTAGGTATTCCTTAGTTATCCTACCATCCTATCATGGATACTTGACAAACTAGATGTGGAAGGAAGAATAAAAACAAAGCAATTGTATATGCACTGTTCTTCCTCTAATACTTCCTTGGCTAATGCATATCAGCTGAAAGACTTCCTGAAGATTATAAGGTTTGTCTGTTGAGAGATGGTTCACTCTTCCAAATACTTGTCAAATATCCCCTTGACTGCATGTAAATTTTTGGCATCCAGAGCATTTTTTTGGCAAAGCATTCTGTGATCTGCCATATGTTGTGTGAAAAGCTACCTCCTTTTCTGTCTTTTGAATCTGGCTCCTACTCGCCCGATTTCATGGTGCCTAGCTCTTGTATTTTACAAAATGATGAACAGTAGCTTCCTTGCTACACCCGCCAGGCCACTCTGGAAATACGATGAGTTTGTCTTTTCCAAGTTGTCTCTTGTCCAGGTTAATGACTCATAGGTTACACACTTGTTACTTACGTGGAAGTTATCCCTACCCTATTCTGAAATGGTGTAAACCACGTGCTCTTGTGTAGTAAACTCCTAAATTTTCTTTACTTTTTATACTGGAATTTTGTATGCTTTCACTGGTGGGATGATGCATCTCTATGAACAGCAAATACTGCTATCTATGATGACAGTGTTCTGATACTGATGCTTCATATCTAAAATCTTGTAAAATATTCGGTTTATGTTTCTGGGAGGTAGGAAACTTTTTTTTTCACTGGGTACCACTGCAAAGAGTCTAACTTCACCCTCTTTTATCTTTGCCCATTAAATACTGATACACATTGACATGATTCTCTTTCCTCCTCTCTTCCTTCCTTCCCAGCCCTGAACTGACCAGTCCCAGCTCTTTCTGCCTCCTCTCCTATAAGAGATGCCCTGAACCCTTAATACCCTTGTGGTGATGAATTATAGTAGTTTATAGTATTTTACTACCAGCCTAACGTGAAACCTCTTTTCTTAACATGGGCACTTATGAAAGAGCTTCAAGGAATGTACAAAATTTTATGCAGTATAGATTTGCTGTATTCAGCTTTAAGAATTGATAAGAAATTACTAGCATCTGACATGCTGGGACACTGCTTGAAGAAGAAAAAGAAATAGCTGCTTAGTATTGTAACCAGAGGTGTAATTTGTGAGCAAGCTTTGTGACTAGCAAGCCATTACAGCTACTGTTAAAAACTCACGTAGTGTGCTTTTTGTGAATGACTAAATAGGTGGAGTCTGATTAGGACTGCCCTTTGTCTTTTATAGTAACAGCTGGAAAAATGGTGACATAAATGGACATTGCAGCTCTACCTGTACAATGTTACTAAAAGAAGTGACCTTCACCAGTTGTCCTACATTATGCTTTACTGTAGATGAATATTTATTTCACAAACTTTCATCTTTGTCATTTTAATGAGTAATGTAGTATTACAGGTTTCAAAGAATTTTAAAATAATCTTAGATTTATTTTTTATAATAATTCTGGATCCCTTTAATTATACAGATCCATATAGATACATTCCGTTCTTGTCCTTATGCAATATCTAACAACCTGGATCTGTGAAGTCGTAGAGTTCTGAACTTCTTGTACTAGTGACTGTTCTATGTTGTTTTCAAAAAATGAATTAGTATTTCACGCTGTTGGCATTCCCATCTCATTGTTTTCACCCATTACTCTGTTCCACTACAGGAATATAAATAAGTACATTATTTTCTTGGTACCTCTTAGGAAACATAATACTAATCTGAAGTCAATTTACTAGACTGTTTAAATAGCTTTAAAAAAACAGACAGACAGACAAAAAAAACACCAAAACCCAAACCTACAACAAAACTAAAGTAGAATTGTATACATCTTAAACCAGAAAAATGCGAACATGTATGTAATGAAAAAGGTTTTTTTGATAATGTGTTCTTTAACGCTTTCCAACACTTCTATTTCCAGGGTTACCTTGAAGAATTGGTACGACTCAGAGAAAACCAGCTATCTGAATCTGTCTCACAGAATAAACTACTGTTGCAAAGAATAGAAGATATGGATCTAGCACATAAAATGGAGAAGGAACAGCTGGAATATATCATTGTGGAACTGCAAGACCAGTTGTAAGTTGGTACAATGGAGAAATGTTGTTAGAGCAGTGTTACAATATGAAGAACTTCTGGTCTTGTGGAAATGAGTCAAACGTCTTCCAGAAGTTCATGTATTTTTTTCTTTTTTTTTTCCTTCTTGAGAAGTCTTGCATTCAGAAATGGCTCCCCCAAAAACTGCAGTAATGTAAGACAGAAGAATTCTGAGAACAATTTTTTTTTTTAGGTCTGAAATATATTACAGTAAACTTGCTTAAATTTTTAACACATTTTTTAATTTTTTTTTTATACTTTATTACTTACAACTTTAAGACAACCCTTAAAAAAGTCAGAAGCAGCTTCCTTTTGAACTGTATATTTAAAATGTTAGGCAGAAGAAAATAAAGAAATATGTCCTTTGTATAGGTTCTGTTTTATTTTTGTGTGGCTCAGACACAGTGGTTGTTCATCTGGTAGTCCTAAAAATACTCAAACTGATGAAATACCGTGCTACTCACCCTTTTTCAAATGAAGGCAAAATGCTAAAGCAACAGAAGGTTAAGTTTTTTTAATAGCATATGTGACTCCTAATAAGATAGATACTTTACATAATTTATCCTCCTAGCCCTGCCTGTTGGGTAGGGAGGTACTTTTCTTTTGCAGAGACACTCCTAATGTTTAAAGACTCATCTGGAAGTCTGGCTGTGTGGTGATAAATTGCCACAAGACTGCCATAGTGTGCATCTGTAGTAATTGTATGTTCAGTTCTGTTTCTAACAAACACAGTACAAATTATTTTACCTTGTACCTGGAGTAACTTGTGTGCTTCTGTGCCAAGAAGTAAAATAGAAATAATCTGTGGCCTTTGAAACAGACAAGACAGTATAGAGATGGCTCTGGGGTGCTTTGGTTCCTTCTGCCTAATATCTCACAGAGACACCACCTGCAAGGGGCTTTTCTATACAGTGAAAAGTAGAATCATAGAATCATAGATTGGTTTGGGTTGGAAGGGACCTTTCAAGGTCATCTAGTCCAACCCGTGTGTCGAGGACTCCAGAGCTGGCCCCAGCATCACAGAGGGGCAGAATCCCTTCCCTCACCCTGTGGCCCACTGCTCTGGGTGCAGCCCAGGCTGCCATTGCCTTCTGGGCTGCAAGCACACACTGCAGACTCGTGTCCAGCTTTGCACCCCCCAGCACCCCCAGGTCCTTCTCTGCTGGGCTGCTCTGACTGACTCCACTCTAGCATGGCGTGTTAAGCAGTCAGTGTCCCCCCCGCCCCCCAGCAAGCACCATTACAATCTCCTTTACTTCTAGCTTGCAAACAAACTTCTTTTGTCTTTCCCTTCTCTGTCTTGTAGTTGATAATTTTATTGCTGGTACTTGAAATTGATTTTATGACAATCCTTAGGAATACATCGTTTGCATTTTATTTTTATTGCCAGTTTTGGAGCTGAGGAAGAAAAAGGACCTTTTTTTGGAGCCTTTCTCTCCTGCCCACCCCATGTGTCTGTAAGCTTTTGATAGATACCTGCTCTCGAGTTCTTTTCTGCACTTACTGGTATAGCTAATGATTCATGTTACACTCTTTAACCTCCTGATTATTTGGAGGAGGTGTTGGGGGGAAGCAGTGAGCTCATTTAAACTCACTCTAATGCTTGGGAAATTTTGAATGTTCAGACCTGCTGTTAATTTTTAGCTGAGCTATATCCAATCGGCCTGTTCTAAAGATACTAGTCTTTGGGGGTTGATTTTGTTTGGCTTTCTTATGTTAAGGCTCAAATTGTAGAGCAGTTTGTATCTTGACAGTGTGTTCTTGAATAGCTCTTTGTGAGACACTGCAGTCAGGAGCCTGGACTACATTAGATATTTGAGGAGAAAGGTATCATTTTGCATTTTTATTGCTTTAAGTGTACCATGCCTGTCAGATGAGCTCTTCTCAAAGTGTGTTAGGAACCCATAGTTCCTTATTGAGGAGAGGGAAGAGAAGAGATATTCCTAGCAGGTTTCTGACAATCATCACCAGTCATAATTAACATATTTTAATCTTTCTTTCGTACTGGTGTTCTTTTCGGTTTTTTGAATTTTGACCAAGAGTGACCCGTTAGCAGGGTATGTTGTAGTCCTCATGTCTGTAATGAGACATGAGGTTTGGCCAATTGCTTTTTATGGTCCAGCCGTTTTTAGAACAGTCTTAGCTTAATTTCAAATCTTAGTGTTTTTGTCCCCTACCATTGGTAGCATTTTGCAGCACTGAGTGTATGCTGTAATGTTTTTTTTAATTTTTTTATCAGCAAATTTGGGACTGTAGTTTTGCCCAAGGCATACTATATTACTGTTTCTAAAACACTTTGAGATCTCATTTAGGATCACTTGCTGTGTAATGTAAACTATTACATATAAACATTCTCTATTTTATTTTTAATGATGCTTTTCTATTCCACTGGTTGTTTTTAAGATAGCAAGTTCTGCTGCTTCAGACTTCTGTTGATTATTTGTTGATGTTTCCAAAATGGTATTTAGTACGCATGCAAGTCAAAATGTTTTACATATATTCTCAATGGATTTGGGGAGAATCTGAGTCTATGGGTAGGTCTGCCTCCCAGGAAAAAAAAAAAAATAGGGATAAGGAATAGAGAACTGACTTTCTTGGCAGTGTAAGTTGCTGACTGAAATGCTGGGGTCTGAACCCTGAGCCCTGAATTAAGGTTGACATATGGGTGATTCCCACAGCCCTTCATACAGAGGAGGTGAGTTTGCCTTATAGCTTCCCCCCAGGGTGCGGCCGGCCCTGCAGGGAGAGCCAGAAGGGAAATGAGCCCCAGGGGTCCTGCAATGAGTTGACAAAGGTCAGGGGTCTGCTTGGGGGTAAAAGCTGGGACCACTTGCAGGGAGTCAGGAGTGTCTGTCTGTGGAGTGCACTCCACAGAGCTTCCTGGTTCAGGGAAGACCTCCTGACTCTCCCTGGAGCTGGGCCCTGGTCTGTTTAGACCTTTGTGAACGTGGGCAGATCGGGTGAGAGTCGCCATGTGGGCACCTTGTTCTTATGTATTTAACTGGCTGGTCTGGCTGTTTCCCATGCCAACTATGGGCAACCTCGGCTCACTGTTTGTGCCACCTGTTGTGGGCAGAGTCACATCTTTTGTGGGAATCGTTGGGGGTGGCATCAATTATCTACCGGCTGATTGATCTGTTTGTACCCCCAGCGATCATTCAGGGAATGTCCTTTTTGTATACAATACAGTCTGTGTGTTGGATTCTCTTCCTGCTGGTGCTGTCATCTTTGTTGGGCCTGGTCACTGGCAAAACACTGACTTGGGAAACCAGATAAAACCAGTGATCAACAAGGCCTTCAGGTTATAAATTGGATTGCCTACAGAGATGTGTTTCCGTCGTCACATTTAATAAGGCAATTTGCTGCAAAATGTGTTGCAATCTGATTGCACATCAAATTAGAAAAGTGAAACCAATCACTTGGTCATCAGTTGGACATGTTTATGTTCATGGCTGGTCAAGAGGAAGGTTCAGACTCCAGAAGTGTTTGTTTTTGGAGAGGGTGGTCCAGACACAAGCAGGCTTTCTGCAGAGGTGATCGATGCCCTGTGCCTCTTACTGTTTAAGAGGCATTTGGACAATGCCCTTAATAATAGGCTTCAACTTTTGATCACTTCTGATGCAATCAGGCAGTTGGACTAGATCACCATTTTAAGTCTTTTCCAACTGGAACTATTCTGTTCTGTTCCAAGAACAGCTTGCTCTTTTACCACACTTTAAGCCTCTACAGATGAAGTGATTGCCTAGTGATAGATGTTAATTGTAATAACAATGAGACACATTCTGACTTTCTTCAGGAGTGTTTGCTGTCACTGGGACATGTTTTTGCCTGGGACTTGTGGTTGCATGTGAGAGAACAGTGCTTCTGGATCCACTGTTCTATGGAAATAGCATAGTTTTACAGTGAGGATGACATAGTTTTTAAGGCTTTGGAGTGCTTAAAATTAACAGTTCACAGGAGGACAACCAAGAGAAGCCTGTGATCCATGATATATCTAATGGAAGAAAACAGTTTGTATTCCATAACGTTCAAAATGTGGTGGGAGAAAAATCCCAAATCGTCAAGGAACTGTATCCTGGAGTGCTCAAAACTCACAGAGGCAATTGTTCTCCCAAAAGCGGATTCTTCACCCGGTGTGCAATGCCCAATCCACACAGGGAGACGAGCTATCATGTTTATTACCGTCCTGCTCGGGGGCAGGTGCTAACAGGCTGACGCCATGAGAACCAGCACGCCACGGGGACAGAACAGAGAACGTTCATACGCTGGGGACTGAAATGAAGTGACATGTAGCTTTGGTCCCTAATCGGTCCCGGGGCTAAATCGATAAAGGATATTTTGGCTTAGGGGTTTGGTTTAATCACCCGAAGGTGGAGCCAGTTTACCAGTCCGACATTTATCACCCTAACCTGGAGCCATTTTATTAGTCCAGCATTTCTCACTCTAAGCACAGCCATTCTGAGTTCTGTGTAACAGAGCCATTTCTTCCTACTCTAAGGTCCTGTAAAGAAGTGGTCTCTTGGAGCTCAGATACATCTGAATGTGCACTCCACCAGTAAAAAAATTTTGAGCACACCCCCTAATATAAGGTATATTTATTTAGAAATTCTATACATGTATTACTGTACTAATATACTATGTACATTATAAAACATACCCAAAAACAGAAACTAAAAGGATGAGATAAAAATGAAATAAGCTCTGTTTTTTCTTTTTTGTTGTTGCTTTCATTTAGTAACAGTACAAAGAGTATTTTCTGCCTGTACCCCAAAGGATTGTTTCATGCACCCCAATTTGGAGATGACTGCCTTGAAGGACTAGTTAGCTCAGTGAAAGTAGCAACTGGGCAAAATCTGGAACTGTTTGCCTACAACATCCTTGCGTTAAAACTTTATCTGAGCTTAAACAGGCTCATTTTTTCCCGTTAGGGTGATTCTTTGTAGGTTTTTTTTTCTTTACACAATACTTGTACTAAGGCAAAT